ATTGCATCAGATTTCAGAAATTTGAATTTTAGATAGCCAAAACCTATTTACAAATTTTAATATTAAAGTTATACATACAGTAGTGGCCATAGAAATTGCATTATCTATAAATAGTTACCATTATACTAAAACCCATTTGACAGATGTGCAAAACAGTATGTTTAAGACTATGATAGAGATTTGTAATGATAACATATGTAGTACAGAAGAAAACCCAACAATAATAAACAAAAAAATACAATTTATTACATATAATGCTACATTAAATTTAAGTGTTATTTCACACTACAGCCTCACCAATATTGTCAATGAGCACTGTCACAAGAACTTGCCATTCACAATTGTAGATGGAAAAAAAAAAGGAAAGCATTCACACCATAAATAGGACTAAAAAACAAACAGTTATATTTTTCATTGAAGATGATCCCAATATACGATGAACATCTTGAGCCTTAATAACAGCTTTGCAGCACTCTGGCATAGAGTGGATGAATTTATTCAACTATTCTATACAAAGATTGTGATACCAAACTCTACTAATACTATCTGGAACTTGCTGTTTATTTTTCAAAATTTTTGTGTCCATAATGTTAGCAGTTCTTGCCAGTGTTGAGATCAGGTCCATTATCTGGCAAGCTCAGGCATCTGATCTGAGCCTCTTGTAGTATTTTTTTTTACCTAAACAATAATTTGTTGTATCAGTTTAAGTGACAATAATGCTAACAAATCATAAAGGACAAATTACTCACAAGAACTCAACATCTTGACATGGCAACATATTGCAGAATTGTTCTGGAAGATAAAGGATTTCAAATGACAAAATTTCTCCATGACTGTTACAATCAGCTTGGCCAGTAAGATGTTTTTAACACACTTAGCATTCACAGACCCATTTATAAAGTGCAGTCTGCCAGCACATTTATCAGACGTGCATTCCTACACAATTTAACTCATTGGAAACCTTGCTATTGCATCAAGCAATTATTGTAGGTATTGCCTTTTCTTTTATATAGGGTTTGCCATCAGATCCATGCAAGTTAAATTTGGACTCATCCAAAAACAACAGAACCCATAGGTTAACACTTCAGTCTGCATATTGTTTAGCCCAGATAAGTTGCTATTTGTGCATTTTAGTTACTTTAATGACTTCTTATGATTTTAAACTCATGTTGCACAGTTCATAAACTCATTTTTTAAACTGTATTCAGACAAGCACTTATTACATTACTTCAAGGTCACATCACTTCTTTCTGTTATACTGCATACAAGTATCAACATTTTTATACTTTTCTCTATTTTTAGAATATCCTGTTTCTAGAGAAAAGGATATTTTCTCTAGAAACAGGATATTTTTCTACTTCAATAATTAGATTTTCTTCTTTCAGCATGCTGCTTACTGCCATTTTCCCCCTTCTTTCATTCATGTGTGAGCATGAAATGATAAGGCAATTTTGAAAGATTGGCTGAATATAAGATTCCTTCTGTCACAATTGTCATGGAATCAATTCCAACATAACATTGTTGCCCATGAAATGGCTTCCTGTCATGTAATGATGCCACGTTACATCACTTATATTGTGTGTGTCTGAACACAGCTTTACACATGTCTGCTCTTCCCACTTTACTTTCACAATTCAGAAGAACTATCAATGCATTTTTCAAACTGTGATACTTCAACATCCTATCTTGGTGCTGTGTACTCACAATTACCTCCCAATCCAATCTTTTTTTTAAACACTGCTATGACCATGTCTCCTTTGTAACAAATGCATTGTTTGATGACAATGTAGTCTTTGTGCTATTTTATAAGATAGATAGATCTTTAGCATTCAAAGTATTCTGTTACAAATTATCTAAGCAAGTTTTAATATTCAAAAACTTCATTTTGCTTAAAAAATCATCTTCAGATGGGTTTTTATACTAATAGAAGAGGCAAATCTCTGGATGCTCTGTTGCAATAAACTTTATCAGCCAATGAAAAGCACTGTCATGTTTATGATATCATGGATGATTCATTCTTCATAATTTCTTGCAGGTCTACAGCAAAATGATACTTCAATTTTAAAACAAAACACATTTTTATAAGATTTAACAAGTGATGCAATTTCTGAGGCTGTACTATATTCATTATCTTAACCATTTTTGATTTTTACTGATAAAGAAATTAATTGCTTCTAGAATTTTTTAATAAATCTGGCAAAACAGTATGATACGGCAATCAATTTCCTAAATTATACTTATTGTAAATAAGACAAAAGTAATTTGATTAAAGACCCTAATGAGATTAACTTTTAGTTAATCTCACTTGGGTCACTATTAAAACAAACAACAGTTCATAAACAATCTTTAATCTCTTTATTTTATACAAAATGCACAGAGAAAACATTATTCTTTTGAAAATCCAGCATATGACTCAGATTCCCTTATTGTGTAATGTACAGAAAATTGTGTCCTCTATGACTACTCTTGGCATAAAATACTGCTTCTACGAAATGGTGATAACTATAAAAAATAAAAATACTATATTGAAAGTTTGAAACTGTTCAAATTATATCTGTGATTAACTGCAAAAATGAAATTTTTGACGGAAGTCATGGTAATACTACTACTTGCAAATTCTTATAAAATACTACACATTTTTTTTGTATCATCTTAGTCTATTATCACTGAACAGAATTTATATTTTTATAATTTCAACAAGCTGGTATGTTTTGATGCAACTTGGGTGCTTTGCTTTAAGTATAGATCATAATTAATAATATATATTACTACACCACTAAATACAATCTGATAAGCATGAATGTTTAAAACAATATTAAGTATTTATAATTTGGGAAAACTGATCTAAACAAATTTCAAATTTGTAATTTATTTCTAGTTTTTTAAATATAATTTAATCTCTGAATTTATTAACATATCTACACACAATACAAATATTCTGTATGATTTATTTTAACACAGATATTTTTAATTGTTTATATTAATACTTACACACGTAATCAAAATCCAAATGCATTGGCAAACAAGTCTAAATCATGAGATTTAGACTTGTTTAATTTTTAAATTTAATTAATTATTGAAAGTTGACTTAAAAGATATAGTTGTATGAGCATTTTATATAAACTTGATAATTATTAATTCAAAATTAATTCATAATCAATAAACTTTTATGCAAGACTGTAGCACAATTGCTATTTTTAGGCTAAACTCCCATAAATAATTAACTTGATCTTAATATAATCTAAAAAATAATCTGGTAATTTAACTTATATATTCATTCATTTCTATTTTGCTTATTGAAACCTTCAATCATTTCACTAGTGATAAATATATCCTAAATAAAGCAAATAAAGTCAATAAACATACTTTAGCTGTTTTTCAATACTATTTCACTTATAAATACATACATATAAGCTAACAATTAAATATTTTTGCCAATCTATCAGCAAAATTTGATAAATAGAATTTCCCGTTATCTAGATTATAGGATCAAATTAATTTTGAGCAGTAATGTTTGTATTTGTCAATTTATTGGAGATCATCATTTAGAAAAAAGCAAGTAGCAACACTAACAGCTAATGTCTTACTTCATAAATAAATAATAAACATACATTAGGATTATTTATAAAATAAATTAACTTTGCAATCATAAAATAATTTAAAAAAATTTTTTAAATACAAATATATTATTAAATCTATAATAAAGTTAAAATTCATAATGCCATAATTGATCCATAATGCAGTTAAATATCAAACATTACAGTAAATTGTTTACTTTATTTTAAAGTTAAGATTACATTATTACTTCAATGTAACACACAAAAAAATATTACTGTTTTCTTAAACAGTCAATCATGTATCTGAATACGATATTTTGAAACCTGATTGGCAATTTAAGATAATGCCAGTATTATATTCATGTATTATATTGAAGGTTCATCCATAGTACAAATATTTCTCATCAAAAAGTTTGTTTTGTCACAATCTAAAAGAGAAGAAGAAAATTTATTTCCATAGTGAAGAAATTTTTTACTGTTTAAAATATTTATTATATAAAATTGAATTCTGAAAAAGAAAAAAATAATAATTCACTTAGAAATGTTCTATTCTTATCTCAAATACAGTACAAGTCGATTCCACTTTCTGGAGTCATGGATAATGTTATCAAAATTAGCATGTCTAAAACATACAAAATTATAACACATTATAAAAACTTTGCTTACTATAATCAGAATTTAGTTATTCTTATCATTATATTTGAGTAAATATGCTTTTTTATGCTTTATTTTCATAGCAGCCTCAGTTTATTTCTGATAAAATCATTATATTGTTACCAGACTTAATCAGTGTTTTACTTTAATCATTATTTACTTACAATTAACTTCATCTGACATATTCCAGATTATGTAATTAAAAAATTTTTTTCAATTTACATATTAATACCTGTTCTGTTAATTTGTATTTTTATTTTCATAATATTATCATTATCAGTTTCATATTTAGAATTCTACATAGATACAAAGTCTTTATTAATAATCTGATAGTAACACAAACAGTGGTCTGCAGGATTCTTTCTCAAAGAGAAAAGTACTGTATACCTGATATATGATTCGGATGAATTAAGCCAGCATTTCTCAACCTGTGGTCTGGAATAATGGGACAGATGGTCCATATGCAGACTTAAATTATTAAAGATTTTTTATTTAATAAAATAGTGAGTTTTGGTTTTACCTTGTTTGTTTAGGACCATTGAAATCCAAAATATCATAACCAGACTGAATCCTGCTTCCAGAATAGCATTTGTTATGGGATTATTGATTGTTAATTTGACTTTAGTATTGTGGTATTCTTGAGTTTACATTATTATAGGGTACATTTTTAAATTTGTTATTTGAAGTATAATCTATGGGACAATGAATTCATCAAATGTTCTTTGTTGATTCACTTGTAATAGTTTACTTCCAATTTAATTAATTATGTTTCCATATGTATTCAAAACATAGATTTATTGTGTTTATAAATAACACAGTAGGTCCCAAACATTGGCAATATCCACAAAAGTTTAAAAAAAATTATACCTAAACACTTAGCTTGGACGTCACACCAACAGTTGTATTAACTCAATTAAAAACTTCAAATAAGAAGGCATTAAAGAAAGTTCTTTAACACCTCCTTATTTGAAATTAGACCTACATAACTTAATGGTCTGTAGAATTTTTTTAAATTTATTGATCCTTGGGCTTAAAAATGGTGAGAAATACTGAACTAAGCAATTCACCATAATTCACCAAAAGATAATATAATCTTCCTCTATCTTCACAAGGATGAAAATTAACACATTTAAAAAATGAGAGAAAATTCCACCAACTACAGTATGAAATGTGATTTGCACAAAGAATAAAAATAAATTTCAAATATTTTAATCTATCTCTAATATTCTGATTTATAGATATTTATATAGAATCTAGAATATTCTAGATTCTATATAAGGAGCTACAAACCAATAGAATATACTAAAGATGTTGTTTTCTTAAAAGCAAAACTTCTTTCTTTAATAAATTATAATTTTTTAATGAAGAAACAAATCCAGTTATATAAAATTAGAAATAAAAACTTATTTTAGAATTGTAAAAAAATTTCCAAAAATTTTTTCAAGTTAAGTTTTCATAAACAATCAGAGCTTTTATACTTAAAATACTGGAACGAACTATATGCAAAATAGAAAATAATTGTTAAAGATATCTAAGAAATGATATAATCATAACAGATAACTAAAATCAATCATTTATCTGATAAGACACACAAATTTTCATTCTATTAAGAAGTTTTTCCTTTTACTTTTTATTCAACTATCTGAAAACACTGACTCAGATACTGATTAAATTCTGGACCAATGACAATTTTATGGTGCATGAATAAAGAATGTCTTACAGTCAATGTTTATATTATTGTGTAATTATATATTTTGAATATTTACATCACAGTAATAAATAATGAATTATAAGTTGTTCTAAAAATAGAAAAGTAGACATTTAACTACAAAAAGGTTATACTGATATTCTATTAGAAAAATTTGTTGTAAATTCTAATTATTATAAATTATAGAGAAATGCTGGCATTAATGTTGTATTTCTATAAGCAAGAGCATCAAAATTTGAAAAATTTTCTAATACAATAAAAGTTATCCTTTGAAGATTTTATCATACAAATTCTTGTAAACTTCATTGCTATAAGAGATAGCTTGGAAATTTGCATATTAACAGTACTTTGTAATTAGATGAAAAGTTTGAGATACTGTGTTCCTAAGACATTAGGACAAACACAAAAGAAATGTTTTCCTTCATTCCTTTGTTAAAAAATGTACAAGGTATATTCATAAGGTCCAAGAATTATTATTATTATTTTTTACAAAAATGAAAAGTGAGTAAATGTTTCACTCTAACAATAGTTTGGACATTAAGGTGTTTGTATACTAGATGTCATATTGGTGGCATGCATACAATAGCAGAAAGTTGGCAAGAAGGGAGACCATTTGTGGTGCCAGTATCACATTCAAAAAGTATGAGCTATCAATCAACATTACTACAAAGCAGTAATTCAATGATTACATGACAAGGTATGATGGAAGAGGTCATAAAAATGGCAATCTAAGTCATGATTCCTTCAACATGATGCATGCCATGTCACAAGGCACTGTCTATGAACCAATATTTAGCCAAATATTACAGGTTATCATCCTCTGTATTTACCAGATTTAGCTTCCACTGACTTTTTCATTTTATCAAAACTACAAACTGTGTTGCAGAGAAAACTTTTAAAGATATGGAAGTCATTAAATAAAATGCAACTGAAGGCCATTCCAAAAATGCTAGGAAAAGTGTATTATATCTCAATGAGACCAATCCTAAATGGTTGTAAGTGCTTTCATTTATTTAAAAAAAAAATTCTTTTAACTTATTGATCATATCTTAACGTTTTAAAAATTTTTTAAATACATCTTTTCATTCCTTTTAAAGACAATTTTTATTAATGTTTGATAGACAATTAGCCTAAAAGGAGAGTAATACTGTTGCAATGTGTTTTTTACAGATGAGAACGAATGAGAGTAAAACAAATTGTCAAAATTGGTCGTATTTTTTTTATTAATAATATAAAAGTTATCCTTTAAAGATTTTATAAAAAGAAAAAAAACTCTCTCTTCTCTTTTTACTTTTAATAAATTGATAATTAATTAAATAATTATCACTTTATATTTTATTTCATTAAATGTTGTTTTTAAGCCACCTAAAAACTGAACATATAAGTTTTACAAAATTTAAATAAGTGCATTTTGGCATTAACTTAAAAAACAAAATAAAATAAGAGAGATATGCCATTTTTGATAGATGCATATTACTGGAAACACATTGAATTTAACTAAATCAGTAAACTTTACAAATAATAATGCTACATTGCTAAAAATAAACATAGTTTATTAGAATACAATTACAAACATTTTTACTCAATCCTTCTGCTAGCTTCTTTAGACTCTAAATACTAAACATTTGTATTCAAGTTCCACAGTGTAACATTATATCCATGTAACATAGTTTTGGAACCTCAAATACAAACAACACACACAATATATTCTAATAAACCATATCTAATTTTTAAGAGTAACAGCAGTTATTTATGAAGTTCATTGACTCACATTTGCTATTGTAGTAATAATGTATAATATTGAATGAATGCTTTCAGATGGTATAAAGGTAATTTGATGTTTTGTACCCTGAGTAGATATGTCAATGATAAACAAATGAAAAATTTAAGTTTTTGTTTCAATTCAATGCTCTTTAACTTCAGTGTCAGGAATTCCAAATCATACAAAGAACAAATATAAATTATTATAATATAAAATAAAGATATTACAACAATTCCAAACAAAAGTAATGCTTCATCAAAGTATTAATTTTCCTGCTATAAAGACTTCATCTTCAAAGTGAAATATACTGAATTTCTTTGATTATAAAATACACTAAAAGTTTAAAATCAAATTTTAATTTTTTATGGAAGGAAAATTTTTAAATAATCAATTTCATTAAGCTTTGTTAAGTAATAACAAATAATACAAATTTTAAAAATTTAAATAAGTTATGAAATAAGTAATGTTTGGCAGCTGTATTCTAAGCTCATCTGTACTTACAATAACTTTTCTTCTCATGCTATACAACATAATGTCATCTTGAAAGCATTTTTAACATTGAAAGCATTTTATCTGAACTGATTGTTGAGCATGCTGGCAAAAAAATCTATTAACAATACCATGACAATAGATACCATATGGTCTACATGTGATGAATGATGAACAGTAAACATAAAATACATTTCTATTTCGGATAAGTAAAAATGAATTAGAAAAAGTGTTTTAGAATCAATGAAATACAGTAATAAAATTTTAACGATTCTCTAATAAAAGTACAAGTAAAGATACATAATTTAATCTCATTTCTGTACTTTTTATTTTTCAAAACTTTCTAATTTGAAGAATTTTGATGTAATACTTTATTATGATATTAAAATTTTTTATTTGCTAGGATTTCAAATTCTTTTTAGTTGTCAAATAATTAAAATGTTTAAAAATTTTTTTAAATTTTTTTTCATTTGTTTACATATTATAATGCTTGTATACATAATGAAAAATTTGATTTATTGATATTGTCATTATTAGAATATAGAATGCACATCAATAACCTTACAAATAATTATATCAGTGATAGGTAAGCCTCATTTTTGCAGATACAATTTCTCTTTCAATTCTAAATATGATCTATGTAATATAATATACAAAATTATTATTTATATACAAAATATTAAATTAAATATCTCACAATCTTCAACTCTCCTTCATTCAAGTCATAATTCTTAATTAAGATCTGCATCATCATCCTATTGGCAGCTTCTGTGTGTATAGAAAAATATAAATTCACATAAACCATAACTATTATTTTTTTAGTTCTCAGTCTTACCACCATATAAACCCTTGACTATCTACGTTGCCTTCTGATAAAATACTAGAACATTTTCTCAAGATATTACATAACTCACATTCTACCTAAATCATCTAGTATTTTTTCTTCTATATCAACACTGCTAAGCTAGCACATCATATCTAGACTATAAAGTTTCCACAAACAACTTTAGTAAGACATATTTTTGTCTGTCTTTACTAAAATATTTCAGATTCTTCAGAGTATATCTAATATATTACTAATATAAAATTATTTGATACATAACATAAAACTTTGAATGAAACAAAATAAGAATACAACAAACAAGTATTTAGTCACTTTTGCACCATCTACTAGTGATATCATCTCTCCCATCCATGACTGTTAATCCCCCATTCCTGATTTCAATTTTTTATTATAATTAAACAATGCAAATTTAAGTTTATTAGTTTGACTATTCAATATCTAAATTAAAAGAATCTCCACTATTTACTTGACTTAAATCATTTGCAATCTTTAGATAAATAAAATTATATTTCTATCATTTTGGCTATTCAATATTTTCTCCATCTACTTTCATTTTTCATTCATCTTTCTTAGCAACATATATTTTTTTAATCTTGTGCTCTCTGTTACTCTTAACTTTATTATATAAAACAAAATGCTATACTTTTTCAGTTAAATTTAAAATAAGCAATGAATTTTAATTGGCATAAAAATATTTCTGATGTTTAAACAGAATCAAAATCAATCTTAAACTTTTTTTTTTGCTAATTAATATTTTTTTAAGTTTCCATATACATATGTTCCAGGAAAAGTATATTCAACTATAATTCCTGCAAGCCAGACATACATGTCATAAGTTAGACTATCATGTTCTTTAAGCCAATTTTTACCTCCAAACATATATATTTAGAATTAACCAGTGATGTTTAACAAACCTTAATTTGCAAGATCAAGATAAACATCAAGACCCAGAAACAGTCAAAAGCAAGATTGAGATTTTAATTTTCAAGACCAAGGTGCAAGATCCTGATACCATCTATCTTAATTATGCAAAAAATTTTAAAATTCTCACAAAATTCTTACATAAAATATAATATAATTTACAAAGCAAAAAAAAAAAAGAAACACTTTATTGTGAAAAAATAAACCCTATTGACAAGAAGCAAAAATAAAGATACTTGTAAATATTCATAATCTTTATAAGAAATGTACTTTATTTTCCTTATTATGATTTGATTTTAAATATTCAAAGCAACTTTCATTTCAGGAAAATATTTACATCAAAATGCTCAATACTGATACTATTACAAAATGATGAAAAATGCCAAAAAAATAAAAAATAAAATAAAATAAAATAAAAATAAAAAATGTGAACCAATACATACACTGCTAACAAGATCAAGACATTACTATGATCTCAAGTTTGTAATTGGCATATAATCATATTAAATCAAATTCTTGCTATGCTGACTGGAACACCTTTTTCCAAAAGTCTTCAACAGTGTAAAATGATGATTTGATTTATATTAGAATAAGATTCAAGCCTTGTCTACATTGTATTGAACATGGTATTTTATCAAATATATTACAGCCTGCTTTTATCATAGTATTTCATTGAATGTCCTCCTCTAAATGATGATTATTTTTAAATTGGTCATACTTATTCTTTTTAATTTTTTAAATCCATTAGGAGCACTGTTAATTATATAAATATATATTGTAATTTTAAATGAGAAGTCAGAAATGCATTTGAATTTTAAAGAATAAACTGTTTAAAAAAACTGAGTGAATATGACACCTTATAGAATGATCAAAAGAAATAATTTGTTGTAAATTTTTCTTTACTTTATAAAAAAACTTTATATTGAGAGAATGACTACAGTTGTTGGATATTTCTTTGGATGGAGCATTCTAATTTGTCATAAAATTTGATTATCAGTTATATACATTATATACATAATGGAGCTATGATATTAAGTTCAACAACTAAATTTATATAAAAAAGTTTTGGCAAAAATGATTCAATTTAGTATCAGTCTTCAAAATATACTCCTCTGTGATCTTTACAAATTTTTGCACACACTAGTAATTTATATACACTTTCATGAAAGGATCTCTTTTAGAATGCTGTTTAGTTTCTTCATTATAGTCTCTAGATTTCTGAAATTGTCTCCCTTTCAAAGTAAATTTTAATTTAGGAAACAAGACGTAGTCAGCTAGATCTGGCAAAGCCACACACTGATGTTTGCAAATAAAATTCATGAACACAAAATTCAGCAATGAAAACTAAAAATGAACAAAAAAAAAAAAAAATCACTAAAAATTGAAAAATGCAAGTAGTTTTTTTTTTTAATTTTAGATTTTTTCATATATAAGAGAATCAAACAGAATTCAAATGAACAGATTTCATAACAGAACAATATCTCATTTTAATATGTTTAATGAACCATAAAAAATACATTTAATGTTCATCAATTCTCAAATCACAAAAATATGAATTTACCAGATGACCAAATGAAGGTAGAACTCATTAGTAATACAAGGAATTTGTAAACAGTCAAATTTAATGACACCATGAGCCTTCCAGCTCAGTGTTCAATAGCATTGCCACACTCTCGATTATGTTTTGTGAGTGTTAGACTTTTGTTTGGTCACTCAACATTATAATACCAAGTAGATATCAATTCAAAAATAGAAGATGAAACCAATAATTCTAAGTTAATTTTTTTTCAACCTGTTTTAACTCTTCAATTTTGAAGAATTTAATACTCTCAAATAACTTAATTTCAAAAAATTATGCTAATCAACATGTATTTCAAAATTTCTGAGAAGTAAATACACAATAAAAATGTTTATTTAAGGTATCTTCCTTACTCATCAGAAAATATTTGAAGAAAAGCTGAGAGAAGTGTTACATCAAAAATTAACAAGTGAAATGATACTTCAAGTTAATAAATAATATTAAATTAAAAAAAAAAATACTTCCCATATATTACTTTTATCACAATTACTGTAGTTCATATATATAACTGATAATCAAATTTTATGACAAATTAGAATGCTCCATCCAAAGAAATATCCAACAACTGTAGTCATTCTCTCAATATAAAGTTTTTTTTAAAAAGTAAAGAAAAATTTACAAATTATTTCTTTTGATCATTCTATAAGGTGTCATATTCACTCAGTTTTCTTAAACAGTTAATTCTTTAAAATTCAAATATATTTCTGACTTCTCATTTAAAATTACAATATATATTTATATAATTAACAGTGCTCCTAATGGATTTCAAAATTTAAAAAGAATAAGTATGACCAATTTAAAAATAATCATCATTTAGAGGCCGATGTTCATATCATAATAAAATATCATAACAAAAGCAGTTTATAGTATATTTGATAAAATAGCTTATAGCATTTTAACAAGAAAAGGAAAAACAGAGTTAATTTAGTATACATCTCAATTTTATTTATTTATTTCTTTTAATGTGAAAATTTTGTACTAAAAAGACTTGCTCATTTTTTAGAATAATAGGTTATGGTTTTTTATTTTCAATATTTACAATTAGTAAATATTATTTAAAAGTAATAGTTACTAAACTGTATAATAATATATAATGATAAAAAGCAAAGAGTAAATTTTTGTATATATATAATGGTTCTGCAATCCTGTACGTATATATATATATATACAGGCAGGATTGCATATTACATTAGATATTAGAATGTTAAAAGAGTAAGCAAGTATCTGCTTCTGTAAAAAAAAAAGGGCTACAAAATTCTCTAATTTTTGCTTCCTCTAGAAAGCAAAAATTTGAAAATTCAGAACCCAAAAATTGTCACTGTATCTTCTATTGTGTAAACATTAAGTCAAAATCACTTTTGAATATGCAGCTTTGAAGAGAGATGTTTTTGCATCACACTTCAAAGTTTAGTGTAGAATCAAGAAACACTAAATCAAAACCCAATATAATTGTTTTTAGTAGTCCCACTACTGCTCATTAAAGATGAACATATGATGAACATAAAGATGGATATAATACTCAAATATTATTTGAGTAAACATTAAATCAAGAAATGCTAAAATGGGATTTTACTGTATATTGAAATGACAAAAAACTTTGCAAATTTTCTGCTTTTATTAGAACTGAAAGTATGAGTATATAAAATAACCAAAGTATTTAGTGCAAATAAAGGCAGAAAATTTATGGAATCTATTACTCCAGGCATTAAATCAGAAGAATATTAAAACATTCTTCTGATTTAATGGAAAATTGCTATAGCAGCTTAGAACTTGCAAAAAAAATCTTCCTTCTCATAATCTTCATTGGGACTTGATTAAATACTAGAAAAATTATTATTGAGATTTAGATTTAAAAAACTTAAATTTCTTTAAATTACAAATTTATAATTTATCATTTTGTGGTCACAAGATCTTGAATTACATATACAAATATAAGAAAGAATAGAAAAGCCAAAAAATGAATTAGATGCATTTTATTTAGAAAAAAATTGATCCTGTATTATCAAAGATAAAAAGTAGAACAATTTATTAAAAAGCAGAATATTTCATAGGAAAAATAAGAAAAGTAGGATGAATATGAAGATTGAATTAATAAAAAGATTAAGAAAAACACTGAACAAAGACTAATACAATTATTATTAATTTTATATAATTAACAAATTATTTATATTTTAGAGTAAAATTCAAAGAAATTATATTACAAAAAAGATAAATTAGTTTCACATTATTCAGAATAAAATAAACAAAACAGTAAGCAATCAAACAAAAATTTATTTAAAAGATGAAAGAAATGAAAAAAAAACTCATTTACTGACTGCACTAGAATTGACAAACCATGGTTGTACTGCAAGTTCACAGTTCTTGATCCATCAATGTAAATAATAAATTATGAAGTTGCACTAGAACTGTGGTCCATCTGGTCAA